CAAAGTCAAATGTTAATAGTGTGGCATATCAACAGAAACAATCTTTCTCTGTTTCAGAGACAGACTTGGGGATTTATTTAATTGCCCTTATTTAGAGCAACAATTCTTTCCTTGCTAATACCCTCAACTCCTGACAAAACATGCCAAAGGGACAGCAGCTCTCCCTCCCAGAAAGACTCATGGAGAGTGATGTTCTCCCAGCTTCAGAGGAACAACCTTGTGTAACACAAGAACCTGCACCAGGGACAGGAGAAGTGAGCTTGGATTGAAAATCAAAGCAGCTTCTGAATTGCAGTTAAAATACAGTCAATGACCATGTCAAAGTCTTTCCCATCAGCAGGAGTTATATGGCTCTGTAATGACATTTATTGACAGCTGTCAAGCATTTGGGTAAAAATATGGAAAGATATACTGGCAGGCATTGAGTAAGAAACATGGGGAGGGGACTCAGGTGATCATTGGTGTGTTTATTTCGGTGCATAAAACATGTAAGGAAAATGATTTCCACATTTCTAAGAAAAGGTTACAAGCAATGAAAAACAAATGGAAAAGAAACCAAGCAATTTTTTTTACAGTAATGTTGAACAAGGAAGGTAAAGGCGAAGTTGTTAATTCAACAGAAGCCAAGTATTTTGGAACAATCCTGGTTATGACAAACACAGGTTAAAACAGACTAAATTTAAATTTTTCCTTTCCTAATTGATACTGTTCTGCGAGACAATGTTTAAAATATGAAATGTTCCTACAGCTCTTTTTCCTGCAGTGTTGTGCAGACAGATGAGAGTAAACAATCTTGCTCTCTACTGAGAGCTGGAAAGCATGACCAAACCCTGACCTTCCCTCCTGCAATCTCCATCTGGGCACAGAAGAAAGGCCAAGAAAATGAACGGTTAACCAAAGAGTTACTGCATCTGTCCCCTTCCAGAGGACTCAGCAGCTCAGGTACCCAAAACTCCTTAAAAAAGAGGATAAGGAAACTCTGGTGGTCTTTATATGCCAAGGTAACTAAAATTTTCAGCCTGAGAGATTTGCCTCTTGCACACAGATTTGAGCTGGGTTTGGGAACATCTTGCAAAGCAGCAAGGGGCTGGTGGGGAATTAAATGTCAAAGCCATGGCCCTCATTCCGTGACTCCACATGATCTTTAGCTCCACAGGTACTTCAGATGCAAGAATCCAAGCTCAGATTTATTTTGGAACACAATCAACAGGCAGCATGGAAGACAGGAGATGCTCTTACACAAGGAAACAAATGCCAGACAGCACAGAATGCTGCGGTCTAAGGGAGAACACAGCAACAGGAGCCAAGTGTAAGCAGGTATGAACAACTGAGCTTTGCTTCACCTAAGCCAACTATAAATTATTTTAAAAAAAGAAAAAAAAATCACTCTACACAGTCTGTGGAAGCTCAGTGTCCAAACTAACCACTGAATAATGCCAACAAACTCTAAAAAACCCCCCAAAACCAACCAACCAAAAAACTCTGGCTTTTCCTTCCAGTCCAAACACATTTGCATCTGAGATCTTTTCAGATTGCAAACTGATTTCTTCTAAATGCTCAGGAAACAGTTCCACATAGAAAACCTTTTAATAACTATGTGGATAGCCTGACAGCAAACAGCTCTGAAAGAACCAGTTGAACCTTTCGCTCCCACTACAGACTCAGAGAGGCATTACCTATTTCATTAATAAAGTTAAAAACTCAAATAGCAGCAATAAATACTCCCAATGAAAGGGAAAAAACCCAGCACTTGAGCCAAAATAATACACAGGAGACCATCCCTTCCAGAATGTCAACCACTCATAGTTCCCACTGTAGCACCATTCCCAGGTATTCTGGGCTACATCTTCCATACAAATCACCTGGTCATTAAATAACTCTGGAGGACTCCTGTGTGTCACAGACGATAGAATTCCTGACAAAAACTAGCCATAATGTTTAACAGAGTAAGATAGGTTGTGAAACAAATCCCACCACATTCTCCCCAGAATGGGTAATCAGCAGGTCCAACAGAGCAGGACATCAAAACATGGAGCCTACAGACGGAGAAAAGTTCACTTAATGACATGTAAAAGACTGGTGACAAGAACATGTGAACTGGTGACAGGCAGGAAAGCCATCCTAATTTCCTAGCTTGCTCTCAAAACTGCAATCACCTTTTCACAGCTGAATGGGTCCTGCAATACTCACAGGACCAAAAACGTTATCATCAAGCAAAGTATACATAACACTGCACTTTAAGACTTTTTTTTTCTGACCACATTTGTACACAAAGAACTATTATTCACAGGTAAACTAAAATACAAAAGAAAAAATACCTGATAAGCTACATATGGTGTGCAAGTAAAGAACACTTTCACAGAGCTTAGAGAGCATAAAGTGCTACATGAGAGCTTGACTCACCCTCCAGATCTCTGGGTAACCACAACCCAACACACCACGTAAGGTGCCAGGAGGAAATGGGGCACACATTACTCCTTCAACACACACAGACCTTTCACTAGGTTAAAGCTGCCTGTATATTTCTAAGTAAGCACAAGCTGAATTATGAATATATTTATCAGAAGTACCTTACACACCAGCAGTGGGCTATTTTGTCCCCTGACATAAGGACTGTGCCACTAGAAAAGCTTCAGTTTTATTGATTCTGATTAGGAGCACGGGAAGTAACAGAGATGTCAGCTACAAAACCAAGGGATTAAAAAACTAGTGACCAGCAGAGTCAGACACCAATGTAAAGGTGAGGTAATTACCAGCTGGAGGGCAAACCAAGAAGGAACAACAATTCTAGTAGGTAGAGTGAACTTAAAAAAAAAAAAAGGTGCTATGATCTTTCCAGATCAGATAATCTCCAATTCTTTGGTTATAAACTTCTCCAGATGTTTGTACTGCACTTACTGCTGTGGCATCAAATTATTTTTTTATGTCCAACCAGCTCATCAGATTAAGACTGTAAGCTTTTGGGGAAAAATTCTATTTATCTGTATGCAAACTGCCCTAATCCAAGATTTCCATTATTCCATTAAAGAACCAGGTTACTGGATTGAGCTTCTGACTGTTACTAAAATGCTACTCCCTGAAGATTCCACTCCTCAGAAACAGAATGGGTAATTTAAAAATAACACTGTTCATGAGCAAACAACTCACTGAGAACAGGTAAAGTGATTCTTCCACACAAGGGACTTTCAGAAAGGCCATCAGAGCTCATCCCTTCAGCACAACTCCACTATCCCAAGAATGCCAAGACTGCAAATGCCCCAGGATAGGCTGGGTCCTGCCACGAATTGCTTTCCCTGGGCCAGGCTCTTGGACTTCACAACTTTCTAAGGGAAAGGGAACCCCTGAAAACTGGATATCTGCAGATGCTCAACTCTTTGATGTGACAGGGCAAAGAAACTTCACGTAACCTGGGTTTTCCCAGGTCTTCTTCCCCATTGCTCCTGTCCTATCTCAAAACACAGCACAAAGGAAATGTCACCTCAGATGTCTCAAGTTAGAGTGTTGTGTTATACAGGGATGTCAGCAGGGCTTTTTGCTGAGTTGTATATGGAACTAAGCACTTTTGGCATTTGCTGCTAATTGGGCACCAAAAAAGCAAAGTCTGACTGAATTTTGTGATCACAGTGTGGGTCTGCCATCATCGGGAGAGGGCAGACAGCTCCCGTGGCTCTCCCAGCTGGCACACCATGTAGTCTTAATTTCATTCAAGTCAAATATCTACTAATTGCTTTTTATCCAGATGCTTTTCTTATTTAGGTACTACAACTGCAAAATGAAAGACTTTGAGATTTATGAAAAGAAGAGGCAGCTGGTCACCATGTGGACACTGCTGGCTCTAGTTACCAAGATAAGCTCACTCTTCATACAGGCAGCCTTACTGATAATGGAGATGGAATATTTGCTGTATCCATATGTACACCTACAGCTGTGGATTCAGAGATGGAAAGGGTTTCTTATGCTACGGTTAAGAAAGATGTAATAAATATTAAGTCATTTTACACTACATTACAGCAAAAAAACAGTTTGCAGTTTTTGGCAAATCTTTGATGTTTGCTTTTCAATCCTGGTGAGTAAATGTTAACTAATGTCATTATGAACACTTTAATCCAGAGGGAGATATTAAAAAAAAACCCTCAAGGATTAATTTGATTGAAGCACTACATTTAATCCACTATGTTGTGTCCAACACTGATGTCAAAATGACGTTCAAAAATAATTCTTCCACTTTACATGTAACAGATAATGAGTCATTTAAAAAAAAATAAATCTCTATATTGTGGCTATATACCAGCTCCTGGCTATTCAAGGCTCAGACACAAAACTGACATCCTGACTTCAGACCATCTCAGAATGGTTAGAACCCACCCTAACCTTCTTCCATATAGAGAATGCCAGTGAAGATACCCACTTTTAAACAGTGTGTCTCCTCATCCCCAGCATACAAGTAGCAGGATATATTTACATTATCCAAAAGGAATTGCAACTCCTTCAAGTACTTTTCAGTTTACTTACTGAATATGGATTTCAGAGGACTTAAGCTCAAGCAGGGTCTAAAATCTGGTCTCTGAGATAGGAAAAACAATTAGTTGCATGTGACACTTAAATGACTGACATACTTAAACATACTTAAAATGGCATACTTAAACAACAGAGCAACATTTTCCTATCCAGTGCTTTGCACAGCATTAGAAGAGTATTCTTAGGGTGATGAGTCAATTTATCTTCGCTGGCTACTTTCCAAGAGTATCCACTGGTGCCACTATTCCACCTGTAACAACCTTGCACAGCCATGTAGAATTAAGATTTTATTACCTTAAAGAGGAAGAATTAATTTTGATTTTAATCAAAACAATCACAAAACCTAAAGTTTACATGTAGATTTTGGCAGTGATCATTACTAGTAAACTGGATAAAGAATAAATATCAGTACTTCCAAAACTGACACCATAGTAATGCTGCTGCTTGATGCATCAAGCAGGGACGAAATAGAAATAGCAAACTCCCAACAAAAGTTTATTAAGCTTTACTTGGTTACTGTTAATAGGTAACACAATAAAATAAGCTGATTTAAACAGTTTTCCCCAGAGAATACCCCTGTGACTGTGCTCATTGGCAAAACCACTTGTAACATAAGATGGGAAGTTCAGAACAAGCAGGATGGTATAATCAGAGCTGCAATTTGTCAGCAGTGCACTGTATTTAGGAGCAGATAAAGATTTCTGTAAATTTAAGAGGCTGCATACATAAGCAATAGTTCTCATCAGTCCTTAACAATAAAATGAACACATCAGACCAAAATAGTTTCTTAAAAGTAGGTCAAAAATACCCATTCATGATCACTTCTGCATTGGTTTCCTGGCAAATTCATCTACCCACACAGATATACGTAATGTGTATCCTGGAGACAGTGAGGCAGAGGAAGAAAACCAAATACATTAATGAGGTAGCTTAGACTGGGTAACTGCAGTTAAAAGTTTTATTGAACAAAAGAAGGTAAAACGTGTAGTCCAAGTTCACTGAGCAAAAGCAGCTCTCTCGCTGAAGCTGCATTTTGTGCTAAATAACCTTATTAACTGAGACTATACAGAGGACACATTATGCAAGTTATCTCAACAGCAAAGGAGAAAAGGTAGATTAAACTTGATCTGATGGAACGATTTGGTCAAATTCAGTGGCTTAAGTTACTGTTTCTAGCCCTTAACTACCTATATTCAGTACAGGTATACAACAGAGTATACAACTGCACTGAATTCCCATTTGTTAATAGTGTGTGCTCCCAGGCAAGCGGAAGCCAATTCCTGAAAAAAAAAATAAAATTAAAAAATGTAAAGATATTTAAAATGTTTTATTTGAAGCATCATTCAACTGACTGAGGAAAAACACTTGATATATGTTATAAAAAAACTCCCGGCTCTACAAGGTCCGCTTCCTGTACAGTGCTAATATTTTAAAATTATTTTATTTCTCCCCTCTGCCTAAGAAACTTCATATGCTCTGAAAGCACCCACAAATTCAGGTGGGTAAACAGATATGTCAAAAATACTCTGTGAAAAGAGGGAGGTAGCTCAGGCCCCTTGGCAACCTTCGGACAGTTCACATTGTTGTGGTCTACCTCCCCTTGTCATCTGCAGTCAAAAATGAAAGGAAAAAGGATTTCAACTAAGAAATTTAGTGAAAGAACGTGTTCAATACAAAAATCTTCAAATTTGACTCATTGGGCTCCCAAATGTAAGCTATAAGGTACCTCACATCCAATACACAACATTAATAACGTACCTAGTTCATACATTTTATAGACAATATCCTCTCATTTGTTAAACATTTGGCTCGGGCGAGTACATCTTTTTTGTTAACCACTTGACAAACATTCTAGGCCAAACAAACAGCACAAGTAATGTCAAAGTCTTTTTTTTTTTTTTTTCCCAGTAATTGTACGAAATGCTGTAGGCTAAGCCTAACAGAAACTACTGAAGAAAAATAACAGACTCCATGATGCAGTGCAAAGGTGTTACTACAACATCATAAGTCAAGGGATGGTTCTAAGGTGCTGAAAGAGGAGATTCTCTAGACGGTGACCCTGAATTGTCCTCCGGTGGGAAAACAGTAAGAGTGCAGGCTCGAATGCCACCAAGGGATTCTGGGAGGTCAAATACTTTATGCCACTCATCTTTTTCTGGATCATATTTCTGAACTATTTCCACCATGCACCGATTATTCCAAGAATATCCTCCAACAACATAGATTTTATTTTCAAAGACAGCAACCCCAACATCACTTTGCCCACGTAACATGGCAGCAATTGGAGTCCACTGGTCTAGAGTTGGTGAGTAATATTCACAGCTTAGAACATCATCATAATCACTGGTTCCTCTAAAGTGATTTCCACCAATAACATACAGCTTGTCTCCTACAGTACACATGCAATGCAGACCTCTGACTGTCGTCATCGGAGCTTTCTGAGTCCATTTGTCTGTGTCAGGGTCAAAACACATAAGTTCCTTTTGGAAAGTATCATGGGTAATTCCCCCTGGAGAGACAAAACATATGTTAGAGTAGTGCTCACCCTAATAATAAGCATTAAATAACAGCCCCCCCCAAGAAACATTTTAGTGAAATAATTCCATCTTCCTTAAGACTTCTTCACTCTAGCTTAGATTACTATCACAGATGTACTCAATTTCAAATGACACTTGTTCCTTTAAACATGAACACAGGTAGAAGCCATGTCTCACACAACACTTTATTACACATGATCGTTACTGTTTATTACACATGATCACACTTCATTTGGGCAAAATTACCTTTGCTTACATTCATTCAGTTTGCTAGTTTTGTTTCTCACCATCAAGAAAACAGCAATCCATTTCCCTTTCAAATTTTGGTACTGTGCCATTATGTTTTAAACAGTCCTATCACACAGCAGAATTTTATCAGAAAACCTTTTCCATCAACTTCAAGTGAATAGAAAGTGGACATAGATTTCAAATATTCTTCTCTTAACAGATGTCTATATTTCCCTCTGCATTTCTGTCATTCCCATAGCTCTCTGCAAAAGCATGTGGATAAAAACTTCAGGGGAAGTCACAGGATGATTTCCTGTTAGTGGATGAAACATCCCACCTTTCCACAAGGTCACCAGGCAGGTCCCAAAGCAGTCACACCAATTTCAGGCACTGTAGGCATATTAGATATGGTTTAAGACCATAATGCTACTATATTTGATGTCCAAAAAGTATGCAGAGAACACACTGCTACTGAACAATCTCTTTCTGGGCTAACCATTCCACATGGAATTATCACCAGACAGAGATGGCATGGTGTCTACAATACTTAATTCTTCAGCTGGACAGTAAGAACTAAATACAGAAAAAAATTGGACTATCCAGCCTTGGCCCTGAATGACACCTATAGCAGTGGTAGTGCGTGGGAGCTCATCAGAAAGAAAAGCATCTAATGACAAAGGAAGCAATCTTCACATATTCAGTCTCAAAAGTGTTTGGAGCAGACCAAAGGAAAAGAAAAATCTGGGGGAAATACACAGCATTTACATGAAAAAAAACCACAGCAGAGAGCATATACATGTGCTACCTGCAGTAAAACATGCAAAATGGGCAAAAAAGTACTGATAACAGCACAGTAATTAGAAGCTTAAAGGACATGCTCACAGAAAAATAAGCAGCTGCACCTTATAGTAAATTTTAAAATAAATCCCTCCTAGTTTACTGGCACAAGGCCCCCTAATTCAAGATACCCCAAGGATCAAGTTGCTCCAGCACATTTCCCCACCAGTTCTTGTCAGCTAAGCAACCTTGTCCCACCTCTTGCCCTGAATTTCATCTTAGTTCTTAAGAGGACGTCCCTTAAAATTTCAGTAGTAGAATATACATAACCCTGTGATCTCTGTAGTGATCACTGACAGACAGATTGAATCTTCTTTAAAAATTGACAAGGTACCATATTATCAGACAACCTATTGCCCTACTTTGGAAAAAAATGGAATGAAACTATAACCTTGGTGTCATACAGGACTGAGCATATTCCAAAAGAAAGACCAGTGAAAGTACAGACATCATTCACATACTGTGATTACCATGAAAACTTATTTTCCATTAGCTCAGTGAAGGCAAATGTTCTTCTTTAAAGTAATAAAATTTTCAATGCTTTCCAAAGAGGATGTGTTCAATTATACTGCTATAGTATAATTTTATTATGTAAAATATATATAATATTATATTTAATTATATTGCTATATAAATGTGTATCTGCCATTGCTACAAAAATTGTATTCTGATAAAGTGAATAACTGCTTTGGAATTCAGAACTGTCAATTACTATGAAAATGCATAATATTATCTAAAATAATTTTGTCAGAGCCTGCAGTATATATGTTATTTGACTGCCTTCATGTGAAATTGCATCAGTACTTATACTACAGCAAACCTACTGCAACCACAGATAAATTTTTATTGTCTCCCACTGAAATAGAAAAGGTTAGATAAGTAATTGTTTCATAGAGATAATGTCACAGGAATTATTTACCTGAAATATACATTAATCCCCCATACACGGTTCCAGCGTGACCATAGTGGGGTTCATTCATTTTTGCCACGTAGCTCCATTCATTCATCCTGGGATTGTAACATTCCACAGTGGCTGTTGGAAACAAATGACAACATAAAAGTGTTGAAGCCATTGTGGCATTTTGGTGTTGAGTACAGTGCAGTGGCAGAAACTCATAAACAGAGGAAGTACCCACAAGAAACACCGTTCAGCTGAGAAAGTGTCAAGGGAATTACTGAGCTTTATCACAGAATGGTTGGGGTTGGAAGGGTCCTCTGGAGAACATCTAGTCCAAACCCCCTGTTAAAGCAGGACCACCCAGAGCAGGTTGCACAAGACTGTGCTCAGCTGGGTTTTGAATGTTCCCAGAGAAGGAGACTCCACAACCTCCCTGGGCAGCCTGTTCCAGTGCTCTGTCACCGCCACAGTAAAGAATTTTCTCACCCTATTCAGATGGAACTTTCCAAATATAAATTTGTGCCCCTTGCCCCTTGTCATGTCACTGGGCACCACTGAAGAGTCTGCTCCCATCCTCTTGAGATCTGTCCTTCACATATTTGTGTGCATTGATAAAATCCCCTCTCAATCCTCTTTTCTCTGGGTTGAACCCAGCTCCCTCATGTTTCCTCATAAGACAGATGCTCCAGTCCACTCATCTTCCTAGCCCTCCACTGGACCTTCTCCAGTAGTTCCTTGTCTTCTTTGTACTGGAGAGCTCATAACTGGACACAGCAGTCCAGATGTGGCCTCACCAGGGCTGAGCAGAGGAGCAGAATCACCTCCCTCAACCTGATGCAAACTCATGCTCTTCCTATTGTACCCCAGGATACCCTTGCATTCTTGTCCCCCAGGGCACACTGCTGGCTCATGGACAGCTTTTTGTCTACCAGGACTCTCAGGTCCTTCTCCACAGACCTGTTTCCCAGCAGGTCAGCCCCCAGCCTGTGCTGGTGCCTGTGCTGAACTTCATTAGGCTCCTCTACAGCGTGTCCTGGCCTTGCTGAATGTCAGCAATCCTTTAAGTGTTCCAGTCACTCCTCCCAGGTCTGTACCATCAGCAAACCTGCTGAGAGTACACTCTGTCCCTTGTTGACTAATTTTCTATTGTCTAGTGTTTTATTAAGTACTTGCACAGCAACATACAGCACAGCATATGGAAGTCACTAAACCAAACAGTTTACAAAAGCCAGGCTTTAATAAAATACAAGATGAAACATCCCTGAATCTGGAAAGGAGAGGAGTGCCTATGTCAATACACAGCTCCATTTGTGCAGTTTTCTTTGTGAACTGAAATGTTAAAATGATCAAAGGATTTATCAGATCAGAAATCACAGAGGATAGTACTAAGTTAAAAAGAAACCCAGCACCCAGGAGTCCTTGCAGAATGCATTGCTGAGAAGGAATCCTCTCTTCCAAGTAAGATGGGAGAGATGCAGGCTGCAGGGAAAGGGCTATGCAGTAAATACAGAGAATAACAGATTCAATAATGGCTATGTGCAGGCTGTAGGGATTGGTAGCTTGAATAGTACAATGTGATCGGAGGGGCAGGAGATCCTCCAAAATCCTCTAATATACTGACCTTATGATGCACAGAGCAATTCTGAATAATTAAGTTATCTTAAAGACAAATTAAACCTCATTTAAAATAATTAAAATTGAGAATGAGATTCTAATGCCTGTTATACAATGCTTAATCTCTGAAGAGAGATGTTTATGAACGATTCACACAAAAAATGAATCTGTCTTCAGAAGTGGCATTTTACATGCTCTAGAAAATGTTTTTTATGGAATCAAGGGTAGAAAATCTGAGTCAGCTCTATGGAATCAGTGATGGTAACTTAACAGTCCAGAATTATGCATCTACTGAAAGAAACAACAACAACAACAAATAGAACCTGAGAAACTTGCCATTTTAAAGGCAGAATGTAGTTAGTGTTAGTCTAAGCCTGCAGAATTAGCAGTACTGGCCAGGCCAGTAAAGAACACCAAACAGGAGCACTTATACAGTGATTAACAGGCAACTCAACCTAACTGTTTAGCTGTCCTAAAAATATCCTTTGCCTGGATTATGGTAATGAACACATCAGAAGTTATACTATTAAATATATATAAATCTATGAGTTGTATTTCTCTGTACTGCAACTTGACACCACATGCAGTATTTGCCCAATCTCCAAATAAACCCATGCTCACTCTGGTAAAAATGAATCCATCCTTAGCAATATTCTTTTCTAAAAAGGAAAGCTCCTTTCTACTCTGCTCCATTTAGCAATCAGAAGCAAAGATGTGCGGAAATTTCAAAACCAGAAAAAAAAAAAGATTTGATGGGTAATTACAGCTGTCCCATTTCCACCCTGACAGTAGACCCTTCTGACCTGCTGCTCATCATTCTACTTGCTTTCACAAAAACAAAGGCATCCTCTTTCCCATGGTGCTTCCACTGTGCGCTGAGGTGAGGAACTTGTATTTCCAACACACTGGGACAGGAAGAGCAGAGTATGTGCAAAGCAATCACAAAGCCAGCAGCACCCAGATGAACGTGACATTCAACACTGGACGGTTTTATCTCGCTCTGCACCATGGACTGCATTTAAGAGAGAAGCCGTAGCCAAAAAATCACTTCAGCAAGAGAAAACAGAACATGCAGAAATTGGTATACATTACTGCCATCACTATCACAAAGTTGTAAAGATATTAGTTATCTGAGGAGGGATGATGTTCAGTCCAAGATCCCTCACATCCTGATGTGTCTTTAAAATTCTCTCGAACATTCCCAGTAGGGCTAAAGTACTGTTTGATGGTATTTCAGGCAAACTATTCCAACTCAAATCTCACATTTACTGTGCTCTAGTTAATCACTTTCCAGCTGAAAAGTCCTACTCTTGTTTGATTGATTGGTGTAGTTGTTTCCCTGTTACCTTGCAAGGTCATTCAATTTCTCTGCACTGAAAAGATATCCTTCTGCACTGAAAAGAAAAAAATATTCAAAATTCCAGTTATTAAAGGTGCCCATCAATTTAAAGGAGGCATCAGGATGTTCTCTACAAAGTCTCCAAGCAGAGCACAGTTCACAAAACACTCAAAACCTGCTACTTTACTGAATCTAAGTATATATCCTATAAAGCATGAGACTGATGGATTTATTCTTTCAACAGCATGAATGATTCAAACCAGACTTTATTTATGTTTAACAGCAGAACTTCTGATGTGTTCATTACCATAATCCAGGCAAGACAAGCCTCGTTTTAATAGAATTAAGCAATCTCAAAAAGACACAAAGCTTTGGCAGTCCCAAGGGATGTTCAGCTCGCACTCATTTTATGGTGCCATCTGTGATGCCATTTGAGGAGTATACAGATATTTAGCACTTCTCTGTCAGTAGCATCTACTGTGTCCTGAGGTTTATTACAGCAGCACTTAGCAACTGTGTGACATTCTAAAACCCAGATTCTTAATTTTGTTACATAATTTCTATAATACAGTTGGTTTCTATACAACTCAAAGATGACTTGCTTAAAGAGTTCCTGACTAATTTTGTCCTAGAATAGAAAGGAGCCACTTCAAAATAAGCCCCTATGCAAGAGGTCCTCCAGTTCACATTTAATTTGGTATTCACATTACTACTTACAGTAAACAGCCCAAATGGGTAATGATGCATATATCCTTAATCAAAAACATTTAAAATATATTTTTTTAGTACATAGTTATAATTAAAATATAGACTCACAGGAGAAGTTTTTACATAAACAAGGAAGGTTCAGCATCATAGAGGGCACCTGGAAAATAAATGCCTTCCAACTTGATGGGCACAGGGTCAGAAGAACAAGTCCTGCCTGGACTACAAGTCTTCTCTTTCCATCTTCATTGCAGTGTGGTGATCAAAGTATCAATGAATCTGTGGTTGAGTCACAACTCAATATCCCCTAAGGTGCTTAGGAAAAGCCCATATATAAAAATCTCAAACTCCGCTCAAGCCCATCAACAGCAGAGCCTGGAATATTCCAAAATACCTAAATGCACAAGTTTTCTAGCACTTACAGGCACAGCTTCTGCCATCAAGCATCACAACTGAACTCTTGAAATGAGCTACAAAAATCTGCTTGTCTGAGAAGAGGAAACAGTCTCCAAAACTCTGCACAACAGCACAGCTGGAAACTACCAGTGTGCTCTGATTCATGAGTATCTCAGTGAGTCACACCTGGTTTTCCCTTTGCCTCTTTTTCCAAGAAGTCTTGTCTTTTGCACACCTGCCTTCTCCAGGCTGGGCTCCTCCTTGTGCCAAAGAGCTGTTCTCCCTGCCTTCTGTTCTGGGAATACCTTTAGCAGGTGCCAGCTTTGCCACTCTAAGAGAACCAACCAGAACTACGTACAACCCTTCCAGGAGCAGTGCATGTTTCTGCACAGCCCTAAGTTGTTACACAGTTGAAAAATCTGAATTGTAATTCAGGACATTTCAAGTATATATTTACCACACTGCAATGCATGTAACCACACACCTGGAAATTCACTTGTCCTCACTAATGAACCAAACTTTTCTCAGTGGCATGCACTGATAAAACAGCAGCTGGTTATTACACTAAGGCACATACTGCTGAGGTAGAAAGTGGCATTTACAAAGTTCTCAGAAGATGAAACATCTGAAAACTGTTTTGATAAGGCCTGATAGAAAGCTTCAAAAAAGTATACTTTCTATTCCAGTGAATGTCAGGAGAAAAAAAAAATTCATTTTAGTAACTTTAATCTTTTGGCCCTTTTCCATAAGAGCTGATCTTCCAGAAAGCTGAATTCTGGTTTGGGGAATTTTTCCTCTCTAACAACAGATTGAAATTAGTTTGAACCCAAGGGCAACTTCTTTAATACCTGTCCAACACACGTTTGACCTTCTCTTCTATGAAATGCCTGAGAGTTTTTCTCATCTGAAGAGAATGGGAAGTTTAAGCTGGATTTCATCTTTTGGCTGTCAAGGTTTATGAAAGAAACATGAAAATGAAAAGTGACTTGCCTCACAATTAACAAGAAAAGAAACTGAAGCCCAAATCAAAGCATCAGACAGCTACAATATTTAGCATTTAGAGTGCTCTTCCCACAGAATGATCCAATGACATTTTTCAGGTCTGTGTGGAAATCGCTGCAGCATTTTAATGATATCTTTACAGAAGATTTTATATAGGTGATAAATTTTGTATTTTAATTAAAGCTGCAGAAGAGTTGAGGTCAGCAGAACGATACTGCTTGATCTAATTTAAGGGAACACTGCACTTAAAGCCTGCTGCACACACAGCTTGCACTGGCTTAGTGATGGCATTATTTCACATTGATTTGGTTAGACTTGCAACTTTTTCACTGACATTATTATAACCCTACTCTGCTGAGATGGTACAGTGCACAAGGTCAGCAATCTGATTATCCACTATTAATTCACACCATTAGAAAACAGCTCACTGAAGCTATTTTTCAGGTTTTCTGATACTCAAGAAAAATGTCAATACATGTTAGTTTGTACATTTGGCCTTTTACAGGCTATTAAGCTTGTTTAGAATGTATTTTCAGGTAAATAAAGTGACGTGTAGGAAAAACTCTGAAAACCTCAGCAGAAAATGGCTGTCTAGGGAAAACAAATTATTACAAAACAGTTTCCCATCTTTTTTGGAAACAGGAGGCATTTTTAAATATCCCATTTTATCAAAGATTAGAACGGATTTTAAGCTTCTAGCAAACCCAGCCCAGTTTTGTGTGGTGGAAGCAATGTACTATATGTTTCCTAAGAAAGTTTGCAACATGATCATGAAAAAAAGTGTGTATGTAAATAACTGAGATGCATTAATTAAAAAAATCACAGATGCTGCAGTAGAAATTAGATTTAGTATTGTTTCAATTAAAAATGTTTCTCATTGAACTTAAAAATATCTGTGCATGTCCAAAAAGCAAATCCTAGCAGCAAGAGATACTGTCAGAAAGACTTGACAAGACACAGTTGAGTACTGGACTGAAAGCAGCAAACAAAATAATGAAATGTTACATCTGGTTGAGATGCAATATTATGCTAAATTATTCCAAGCATAATCACTGTAATATTTCAATTTTAAGGCACAGACAAATGTACAATTGAGTGCACTCCCCCAGACTTGACTAAATGCTAACCACTGTGGCTTTGCACAAAGCAGTGGATTAATACAGGTCATCCTCTGCAGACTTTTGCTAAATTAAAAGTTACCATGTATTTGTTCTTTGTTTCTAACCATCTTATTTTCCATAAATTGATTTTTTTCTTTTTTTATATATCAAGTGAAATGAATTATCATTTGTAAGGGGGAAGAAAAACAGGAGGCAGAAGGAGAGTCATACATACTAGTAAGTTAACTATGTACTCATAAAATATATCAAATTAAATAATTAAAAAGCCCAGAATGTCAGAATAAATGAATCTCACTGGTCTCTGAGTGAAAGAAATCACTGTCATTACTTCACTTAAAAAAGAAAAAAGCAGCAGCAAAAACCCCTTAGTATTTCAAATTACTAATCCAGAAAATTTGTGTCTTTTAAAATGTAACCTTCATTGAACAGCAAGTTTCAGTTAGTCATGTATCCCTTAAGAGTGGGTTTTGTTTCTCAACTAATGATTTTTTTTTTCTATAATTGCATTTATATATCACCACACTTGCACACATACATGCTTATTTCATGTTTGATAGTAAGGGCAAAGACATTAGATGTCATCACTACACAAGATAAACGCATTTGGACTTTTTTTTTTTGTAGAATCCCTTCTAAAATTAACTTCTAGTGCTATCCAGACAAATTTCCCTCTGCATTTGCAGTATTTCCAGAAAGAAGCTGCACACCAATGACTTCAACTTGTTTCCTCTCCACCCTTCAAGGCCCAAGAAAGGGGCAAGAGGCCGGCTCCAAGAGAACTCACCTAGCTCACCCGCTGCATTTCGACCACCGACTGCATACAAATGTCCTTTGAGGGCACTTAGGTGGAAGAAGGTCCGCTTCTCATTTAAAGACGCGACTTGCATCCACTTGTTGTAGCGAGGGTCAAACCTGAAGACCGTGTCGACCGCCGTCTTTCCTTTCGTGTCGTAATTGCTCTGGCCCCCGACCACGTAAAGAAAGTTTCCGATCACGGCGATGCCGTGCTGGTACCTCGGTGCATCCATGGGAGCCAAGGATTTCCATTCGTGGGCCTTCTCGTCGTACATCCGTAACTCCTTGCTGACAACCAGCTGCTGCCTCAGCACTCCCCCCAACGTCACCAAGTGCGTGCTGTCCGACCGGATGGCCGTTCTCTCCGACTGCATCACCGGCTGCATGTATGGCATCATTTGGTAGTTGCTGGCTTCCAAAAGCAAGTTGACGCAGGTGTTGTCAGTTCTCATGAAGTCCACTGTTTGAACATAGTTAATAAGATCATTGGGTGTCATCAGAGGAAACCTGATGTTCTTCATTAGCTTCGCAGCGTACTCCATCCGAGGCTCCTCGTAGCGCAGCCAGCGACAAGCCGCCTTGAAAAGTTCAAGTTCAGTGCAGTGCTTAAGGCTATTACTTGAAAGCACAAAGGCAAGACGTTCAAAGGGGAGTTTCACAAATTCACCAGTACTTAATAATGCGGGGAAGTTCTTCAGGATGAAGTTATTAACATATTTATCCACTTCTGTGAGATTGTATGTGTTGGCAATTCGCCCAACCTCAACACAGTTTTCCAACGAAACCTATTAAGCAAACAGAAAAAGGAATCAAAACACTTTCTTAATTTGATGTCTAAATGATAATGTAAAATTTAATGAATACTGTAGAATCAGCAATATTTCATCATTTCACAATGCTCAGGGTGATTTACACATGAGCATATAAATATTCAATGTGATGTATATATTCATGACTGCAAGGGGAGACCCAATTTATTTCTTATTTTGAAGAAAGAAATGAGAAAAGTAACAAGCAGATGGCATATATTGTGCCAAATACATTATACAATGACTATGCATAGCAATCATACAGCACTTCGTCTTTGAAAAACTCTGAAAACATCTCTGTAAGAAAGACACGTGGAAAATACAGTTAAGGGAGAGGTGATCAGCCCAAGGTTAGAGAGAGCAATGCAGAAATCTTACCATTAGACATTTAAACTTTTAACATTTAGACTTTTAAACATTATTAAAATTGTATTGGAATAATGAAACCGAAGAGAATGGCACAGCTACCCCTCCTATGCCACATATTTCGGACACTTTATTTACAGTGTTCAATCCTATGAATACGTTCCTTCAAAACAAACAAAAATGGATCTTTAATAAATCAAGGCTGTCCTCGTACAAACTATGTTCAAAATTAAATACATATCAAAAATAAGACAAAGGTAGTGACTTTATTTCATATATATATATATATATATATAAAAATTTTTTTAAGAATGAACCTAGTAGGATTTCCCCTAAGACTACCCACTGCATTAAATGCTATAGCAGTATGGATCACACCCTACTTTAATTCAATACTTGAGTGACTATATCTTGATAAACATCTATTTTACACTGTTCCTGCATCTACGTTTCTTATGTCTTTGGCTCCTAAATTTCTGAGGTCATTTGGGATCCAAGGCAGAGGGAGGAAGAAACACGTCAGGCATGGGGTGTAACTTAAAGTGGGTTTCCAGAAAACCCAGTCAATTAATTTCATCAAGCTCCGTGCTACATGTGCAAAGCAAGTCAATCAAATGCTTCTTGCTGAGAATTGCAGCTTTTTTTGCATTCAAACCTTATTGCAATTCAAGCTTCATTTACACATGCTTTCTAGTCTCTGTGCATGTCAGTCCTACTAAGTGTCAACCATTTCCACGACTTTGTGATTCTCATTATACTTGTAATACCAAAAGAATTTAAGCTTCCGAATCTCATAGTTATTTTTAAAAAGATTATAAAGATTGAGGACTATGACCTGACTGCAACCTAAGATTTCAAAAACGTTCAATGACCTTCTGGTCATGACAGAGATTACAAGATTTTAATGCTGTATAACTCAATCTGATCATTGCCCTTTAATACCAGACAATTCAAATGTCTAATGAGTACAGGAATAGGAGATCATCTTAATTCACTAGAAACTGATCTAACTTGCCCAGGAGTTAAGATCTGTGGTTATCCAAAGTCTTCATTCACACATTTTGAAACGCCTTCATACACTCAAAGGTTCCAAACCTTATTCTTCATCTCCAGGAACAGTAACCCTGTAATCAGATCCTATCTGTAAGATGAAGGTGCAGTGGACTCTTAGGAGTTCTGTTATGAAACTATATGTGCAATGGATACCTGGAAATTATTTTTTTATTACAAGACAGATCACGTTGTTTACATAAAAATGTAATCACACCAACTAGTAGTGGCCTATAAAACATTCTCTGACTGTTTTTTAGAGTCAGTACCAAACAGGTTGTTCACAGAAGTTGTGGATTCTCCATCCCTGGAAGTGCTCGAGGCCAGGTTGGACGGGGCTCTGAGCAACCTGGTCTAGTAAAAGGTGTCCCTGCCTATGGCAGGGGGGTTGGAACTAGATCATCTTTAAGGTCCCTCCCAACCCAAGCCATTCTATGATTCTAATTTCTGTACATTTCCTAAGGATGAATCCTAAATTTTTAATTTACATAAATTAATTGCATAATGGAAGTAACACCACGCCATAAATTAAGTGAAACAGGACATTCTTACTCCTAAAATTTCTTTCCAGTTGTATAATAAAAAAATATTAAGCAATGGAAAAAATCACAAACAGCTTACTTGCAGCACAGTACAAATCTTAACTCTTGGTATACAGTTATTGTATTTAAAAATCCCTTTGGAATACATTTACTGGCATCAAAATACAGAGATGCAGCACTTCCTCCATGTGAAGGTAAGATATTGCCCACTGAAAAGGCATGCTTGAAGTTAAAAGATCAAAGCAAAACCCATACAGGTTCTGTACCATTGGTACATGGTGTTCAGGTTGCAGTGAAGTATTTGGAGTCATTGCAGACACTCTGACACTTACCAAGTGCTCAGCATGCATCAGGTTATGTATTAGCATAGTTATGTTACACTGTAAATCTATGCAATTTAATATATTCCTTGAATTCTTACATTTGAGAAATTTATTGACAAATTACACACTGTTAATGACTGATGAACATGACATGAGCAGTTTCCACTCACCCCAAAGTTCTCGGAAAATTTACTTTACACTGCCTTTATTAATCCACTGGAACTGTACTGCACCCAGGTTTGGGATTTTTCATCTATGATTGCAAGAACTTCCCATTATGCTTATGAAACTGTGAACTACATTTGGCTCACTAACAAATTCCACCACTCACCGCAGATTAGGGTGCCAAAACAAATATTTTCTTAAAAGTTACTTTCTCTGGCAAAATTACTATTACCCTCTTTACTATGTTCTAAGATAACAATCAATAACCAGGCTAAATTATATTGCAAAGATTTAACAGTCATAAAAATATATATATTCTATACATTCTTATATCCTGAGCCAAAAAAAAAAAAAATCCTTCAACAGAATGTAATGCAATAGCTACTTTTACTTAAATATTTCAAATTGGACAGAAAGTACAATAATGCTACTTAAACACTTAAGTACTTCAGTTAGTCAAGTGTTGGAAAAAAAAAAGGTCTGACATGCTATGCTACTTATGAGAGGCATGGAAATGGTTCTGTATGGAAGTCCATCAATCAGGAGCTCATCAAGTGTAACTTCTGGAAATCCCACCAAAGTGAACAGGAAGAATGGAAATATCAGATGAAAACATAAGACTGGTTGTACAGTGTATCCAGTAACTAGTAAAAATACTCACACAGAAAGACCTAAAAGCCATAAACAGCTAAGCAGCTCCATAAGGAGTTGAAAATTTTATTTAAATAAATTCTATTTTATGTGGTCTTTGACTCCTGAGCAGAGACACTCATTCATATTACTCATTGCAACTGTTATTACAAAGCAGAAGTTGCACAAAATACTAAAAAGCTTTTCAAAAAAGAAAGGTCAAGCACAGCACTGTATTATTACAGCCTGAAAATCCCAATGCAAAAGCCAAAGTACTTTCTTGAGAATGTGGTTCACTTAATTCTTTGAAATATTGAAGCAATCACTACCCAAGCTGTCATAAAAACTTAATGGACTATAAAATACTACAAAACTGGACACAGCAAAACGATTGCAAGCATATTTCTGAGAGAAACTCAGAAATAACATGCACAGAAAGTCAAGCTCTGAAGCCCAGTACCACAAAACATTTGGGTGCCTAACTTTGTTTTGTTTCAATGACTGTTAGACATTGAAGCACTTAACACAGTGTTTCAAAGAGTGGAAGTTTAAAAAGAGCTCACATACCCCTGAAACCCTCAATTTTTCTGTGGGCTCCCATACACAGAAGCCAAGAAAAAACAGCTAAGAAATTTGACTAGCTCAGAAAGTTGAATCAATTATACCCCTACATAACAAAAGGCAAATTTCTGGTGGCTGGCAGAGCTGGTCCCAGCATTAAATCCCATGCTCCCACAAAACAGATTATCTTGCTCCATCCTCAGATAACCAAGTTCTTTTGACAAGACAGGACTTCCAAGTATTAAGCCCTCAATATTTGACAATTTGCTAGTTGTTACAAAACTGTAAAGCACAGAATTATGGAAGGAATAAATTTTACTTAAGCAAGTACAGCCAAAACATTCATTTTCAATGTTTTGGAATGTTGTCTTTAATTACAGTACAACACCCCCTTCCCCATTACCCTGTGATTTTCCCCTGAGTGCTGTAATTTACTTGGACAGGTTTCTCATCTTTCTCCATTTTGTACACTACTTCTACTTTTGCAAAATCACTACTGCGTGCTCTCTAGCACTCACTACTCTGAAAACAGTTCCATGGCATTTTTATTAATTATAATTACATTATGCCTCATTTAGATGTGAACATAGGAGTAGTCCTAGTCTATTGTACAGCTATAAATATTTAAAACTAATAGTAGGAGTAAAACTGAAAACATCTTAGGAAGTATTCCAGTGTTTCTCAGAGTCTGTTTGGCTACAGAGCAAAGATTATCACAGCAATGGGCTACTTGACAGGAGAGGTGTACATGCAGAGCAAATAAAAGAACACTTTCAAGTCAACTACAGCAGATACAATTCTTTGAAGGTCTCACTATTTTTGTTACATGAATTAAGCTGTTACCTTAAGCTTCTGCTTTTCTTTCTAAATATTTCCAAAACCCTCTTATGAATTAACACAATTACATTATGCCTTACATAAACTGACTTCTATAATCTCTTTAATAATGGACTCCCTAGACAATTCAAAGACAAATAAGCATTTGTCTGGAAATGCTTACATCAGGTCGTGGATGCTGCTCTCAAGTCACATATCTTCAGTAGAAATCAGCTCAAGACTTGCTCAGAATACTCATTTAAATCACAGAAATGCTCCTTCAAAAATAGAGTGAAACTGGGGAATAGTCTTTGTAAAGCTAAGATATGATAATTAAAAAAGTAAAAAACCACAACCCAATTTCCTAGCCAACTCTTGTTCCAACAAAAGTAAGTTCATTCAAAATTTCTTTATACAAGGATGCTGAGAATACAACCAGGCCAACAGCACAACCTCAATTTTGTACTTCCTCTAGAGCTACACCATGAATGAAATTATGTCTCCTTAGACACTGGTGTAAATGAAAGCCTTCCAGAAAAAAAGAATCAATAAAATGAAGGGAATTAATAAAGTCTTCCTGATTCCTTGAAAATGTAGTATCAAACAAAACATTTTTTACTTGAACAAGAACAGTGACTGAGTCAATATCATAAGTGAAGGCACCTTCACAGAACAAGCATTTTAAACAATGAAAAAAATTATTCCAAATAACACTATTTAATATGAAAAAAACCTTTCCCTCAGAAAGGAAAATAAACAAGCAGTTGCCCTATGCAGAAAGGGGAAAGGGCAACATGATGTCCCTGGGGCTCACCTCCCATCAATGGGAGGCCGCTCCAAATCCCTGATTTAGAACACCACTAAGACCTTTTCCCAAATTGGTATTTATAATAATGTCAACCTTGGAAAGGCACACTGTGTTCATTTTGGAAGGTAAAAAAACACTGAGCAACATAAAATAGGTGGTGTAGGATTGAAGAGTATTAAGATTAATGAAACATTATTGCAATAATCTCAGAGAATCAGCCAGTTAGAAAATATTCCCAAATTAAAAGCAAAACAGCGCATTATAGACCCTAGATGTCTCTAACACTTCCCTTATGAAACAAATTGCTGTTATTACCAGCTTGGAGTCCTCTTCTTTGCATAAATCCTGGTATATGTCAACTAAGGAGGTCACATTTCTAAGCCTGTACTCTGCAGAGCAATGGGAATACCTGGTTCTTTATTTCTCATTACAGGCTATCAGAAAGCTGAATTCCATATGAGTTCATGTGGAACACAACAGTTTCCCTGTTACAGGTAAAACAAAATTTCTAGTAAGGTATATAATCAACTGACATTAACATTAGAAAACCTCCAGGAAACATTACAAATAACACCAAAGTGTCTTTCCAGGCACAACTGCTTTGATGGCACAGCTCTTGCACTTATATCAAACTGACACTGTATGTAATACTCAGAAAAAAAAAAGATTTTCAAGAAACCTACACAGCAAACTTGTTCTCTGGGAATCCAAATTATGAATAATGGCAAGTTTTAGACTATTACATGGTCAATGTCATTATAAAAAAAAACCCCACATACCAAGGCATTAATCATTGTAAATGGGAAACAAGTAGTCTTACCCCAGAGATAAGAAACACTTTACAGAAATCCAAAACAGGTAAAATCTGCAAAAAACTGGCAGCTTCCAGAGTGTCCTGAAGGTTGTCCATGTTAAGGGAAAGTTTTGCAGTATAGATGAAATCAATGATCTTCTTTAGGCCTATTTTGTTCACACCGTGAAGCTTAATGCACATTAAATCTTGTTCCTTCATTCCCCCTGAAAAACACACGCAGGTAAATTTACGTGACCATTTTGATGGGGTTGAAATAATTTCATAAACTTATACAAAAACTTATACAAAACTTAAACATAATTTTAAATTTTAATTGAAAAACCCATATGCAAGAGTAGAGAGAGTTAATTAGCCCATAACGTCGTTTGCAGTCCTGATTCACACCCAGCACTGAACTTGTGTCTCAGTGTCCCAATGACAGCAGTTTAAGACAGCAACTCTAACAAAAACCCCACCTGTGAACATGGCCTTGAAGTAATCACTGGCAGAAGCCATCATTGCTCTGTGAACAGGAAACACCTCGTCACCATCTCCAGGAACAAGTGTCACATCACAAAGCAAACCTTCCACTCGCAGCTGGTCAAAACCCTGCAGGAAAAGCACAGTGCAAAGCACCCAGTTGATTTGGGAGGACAGCAGGAATCTTTCATTTCCCTTATGTAAATACTTATTTACTTTTATGTACATATGTACTGTAGTACCAAAAAAGTGACAAAGAAATAATTTGTCATCTTAAAACCATTATCTCTAATATATTCTATTATTACTATTCATTGAAAACAAGCAGAATAATCATTACTTTCCAGATATGGCCAAAGAATGCAAAGTACACTGGACCTTAGAAAGTAGCTTTATTCAAATAATTATGGTATTTTCAGGAAGATGTTTCTTTTGTAAGCGTTCACAATAGCAGTTGTTTCAGGTAGGGATTGATGTCTTTTTTTTGGACCTACCTTTTCTGGACACATATGCATTCTAGATATAATTCTTTTCCACATTAGTTTAAGTGCTTTGCAGCCTAAGTGGCTGCCAAATTCTGCAGCCTGAAAGAAAAGCTGTCACCTGGTTCCATGATTATCAAATTTGTTACCAAAGATGGCATGGCAAGAATTCCAAAATTAGCTCCCATTATACATCTGATCTTCTCTGAATTACATATAATGGCTAACTGTAATAAAACAATAGAGTCAGCTAAAGAATTGTAGAGTAAGATTTTCCTCTAAAATTGAGGATACTGAAAGATGGGTGAAATACTCTCCTCCTTCATGCACTACAGAACATAAGCTCAAACATAAAATATTTTCCTTCAACCTGGTGTTTTTCTAATACTAGCAAGAATGCAAATATTGTCTTTATAGATTTAACACTTAAAGAAGTCTTGGTATCAACCTGCATGCTTAAGCAAGTTTGTATTATTAAAACCGCAGAAGTAAGTAGAAATAAACATTCAAATTTGTTGCACAGAAAAGAACAGAGTGCAAATGAAAAAATGAGTATTGGCTTCAATGTATCGGAAGCCAAAGACAGATTATATAAACCTAGTGTATTTCAATCAGTCAAATGACTTGTCTTATATATCCTAGTTCCTACAAACTAGGCTACAAACAAAACTGCCAGTTCACCAACTGCTCAAATTTGGAAGAAAGAAATTAATAAGGAGGAAATAAGCTCTCTTCTTAGTGTTCAAGCAAGGGAGAACTATGCCCAACCATGCAAGCCTTAGAAACTAAATCAAAAAAATCACTAGCTTCTGTGAACTAAAAATCAAATTTTTTCCCCAAACTGAGGCAGGCTATTTAGGCAGCAAGTAAAAAAAGTTAGTGGTAGTTTTCCAAGGAGTCATTACCATACGAAAGTCAACTGCACTACTGAGAAAGACCACACTGCAAAGCAGCAAAAGCTATGAAGCTGTTGGATTGACTCTATGGCATGTAAAAGCTCCAGCAGAAACGAGAGGATAAAATGACTATGCTCTTAAATTCTTAAAGCTTCAGGGAGGATCACATTTTTATCCGTTAGAGGAATGTCCTAGAGCAGTGCCACAGAGTCAGGCCCAGCACAGGGTGTTACACCAAACCTGGTAGGGCTCTGCCAGCTTAGGGATGTAAAGATGGAACACAGAGCTCTCCTCGTCACATCCCTACAGCAGCTTTCACACAGAAGATGGTACAAGTGTTTGCCTAACACAATTACATGATTACATTTAAGTGAGCTTATTTGACACTGCTGTCACTTCATAATTTAAATTATATAACCTCTTAGAAACTGAGAGTGGACAAGGATATGACTCAAGGAAAAGGCCAGGTTTTTCTTTTCGTGCTTTTGCTAAAAGCTGAATCTTTAACACAGTGGAAATGAAGTCACAGGCTATGCTTGCTTGTGGGCATTGCCAGCACAGCACAATAACATGGGGGTTTTTGAGGCCTTTTTAGGAAGTATCAGACTGATATAAAGGCTATTGAGAGGAGGTATTGTTTAGAGCAGCCAAAATTCTCAGCACAGATCAATACAGACATAAGAATATTTAATTACCTGTAATACCACAGAACTGTGAGTATTGCTGGTGAAAAATCTTGTGGTTCCTGTCTTCGAAGACTGTAGATGGGCAGAGACGCCCATATCGCTGCTACCAAGAGATACTTTCATATGAGGATCCTCCTCTTCCACCAGAGATCTACGAAAATCGGAACAGAGGAACCTTAAGACCAAACTCATTTTCACTCAGGGATCTTTTGTTCTTAAACCACAGTCTTCTGGGATGAAATGTAACAGCTCAGAGGCTATAGGAAAAAAAAATCTGCAGGCAACAGAATCAGTCCTTAGTGGTTCCCTTCAGCTAATTTAAGAAAGTGAAGCATTAAGTCTCTAAAAAAACATAACTTCAAAAACCTGATTTTTGGCTAGTAAGTTTTTCTTTTTCCTTCCACTCCCAAGTCCCTGATTTAGACACTAGCACACTACGTTATATTTACATGTGCTTTCAATATTGTAGGATGCTTGCACGGGTTTTATCTGGTTTCCAAAATCAAGTATCTTAGCTTTTCCTTGGCAAACTGGTGAAATATTAAAATTCTAAGTGTAATATTTAAGTAAGCATTTTCAGTCTTATGACTTGCATTATCTTGCTTATGTATGAACATCATAATAGAAAATACAGACCATGGAGTTTCAAGCTGTAACTTTAACCTGCCTTAAGAAACTAGAGGCTAGAACTCCATTAGGACATGATGATCCAGTATTTTGCTACTGCAGGCAACCACTTCACAATTTTAATTTAAGATCTGATTCCCAGCAATTACTGTCCAAATCTAGATAGGAAGAGCTAATTTTAAGTAGAATTGTTAAAGAATTACTGCACTATTATTAGCCTTCTATTTTCATCTTGAGATGTAAATTAGGTTTACATAAAGAGATATACATATGAGAGTCTAACTACCCTAACCTGTAATTATTATACAATGTAAATTAATTTCATCTCCAGAAATATTAACAGTAACTAGTTTCTGTAATTTCCATGATCTAATGTGCCACCTATGAGCATGCAGGGCAGTATAACTCATATATACACAATTTTAATTAGCAAACATAAGCTTCTAATCTACAGATGAGGGCATCTTCATTATTAATAAAGACTCCATGCACAGAAGATTGTCAATTGACGTAATTGCTGCAAAACTCAGATAGGAAAAGTTTTCCAAACTTTAAATGTGCAGGTTGAAACATTGGCCTCCAAGCTAATGTCAGAAATTACTTTAAATAAGTGACAAGAATGTGCTTAAATCCCCCTCCTCTTCCCCAATTTTGATTATGTTCACTATGTAAGGGCAGATTTGGAATTTGCAGAAGATAAATAATTTTCATAATTTCCTCCTATAAAAAAATTTTTCCCCCACCTTCTTTGGGTACAAAGCCCATGCAGAGCAGTTTCTGAAACTCACACATTACCCTGATAGCACTAATGTGCCTTGCTCAAACCCATGAGTACAAAAGGTCAGCTACAAAAACATATTCAGAACAAATTCACCATTCAACAGCGTACATGGGTTTGAAACAGTGAGATTTTATGCACAAAGACATAACATTGTAGGAACGAGGGTACATCTGAATAGCTGTGACTTCTAATGTATTCAGACAGCTGAATAAACCAATAAATGTGGATGCGCTGCAGCATGCAAAATTTGTGCAATTTTGGAACAGAATTATCTCTATTTTATAAAACAAATGCAGAATTATTTAAATAAAGTTTACAGGGTGTACTTCAGAAAAGTGCTCTCCAAGCTATCTTTGGCATACAACAAATACAACAATGTAACACAGCAGCAAAGCAATTTCTAGCTCATGACCCAAAATATTTTTGTTCACTTTGTTCTAGGGTGTTTTAGCTTTGGTGGTGTTTGTTTGTTTTAGTTTTAATACAGTCACATCAAGGCAAGAGTCTAACATAATTTCAAAGGACACCCAGTCTCTAAATTTGTACATGTCTTTCTAAGAAGAAATATAAAATAATGTGGGGAGACTTGCAAGCGTGGGTGGGAAGGAACAACAGATTCAAGTAGCATGAATCTGACCGTTTGCTCTTGAAGTAGCTTCCTGAAATGTCAGATCAGATAGATGTTACATGAAGGAGCTTTTAAAATACTTTCTCTAAATTCAGAAGAAAATGGAAGATGTACACATCAGTTAAAATCATTAGGAAAAGAAATACACAAGTAAGCCAAACTTCTTGGCTCTTTGGAGTGAGCTTTTTACCATATTTGCCACAACACTACTTGATTTCCTGACAGCCAGCATAATTCTTAAGTTTTGTAAATGAAGGCAAAGACCTTGGCCATGTTCCATTTATTCCAAGAACGGCAGGGATCATGGAAACATTTTTCTGAACGGGCCACGTTACACACAGCTTCCCAAGCTCTGCCTGAAGAGATTGGTCTCTATAGCACACAATGCCTTGTTACAACTGCACAGCCAACAGAGAAGATATAAAAAAATTTCACAATACTTGCAATACTTAAGAGCACACATTCAATGTGCCAGGTGTGACTATAAGCAGTTATTTTTCCTACCTGATTCGCAACAGATAACAAGCAGTTCTCTAATACCTGTACCACACACATCAGCTCAGCAGCTCACAACTTGGAGCTCTTCTGCAGAAGAGATTTTCCCTATTTCTCTTCCACATTGGCTGTTACATATGGACAGGAACTTGCACACACGAATTAGACATTAAAAACCGCAAATTTCACACTATAAAAATGCACCAGAATATAAGTGTTACAGTTCTAGTCTCAAGCCTTGACTTGGCTGTGTATGACTACATGAGAAAAAATATTAAAAATAAGCAGATTGTATTAATCCTATACTGGGTTTTTGCTTATATCTAAGCAACTATGACAAAAAAAAACTGTGATGTGTTTGTCTGTGGGGCTTTGGGGATTTTTTTTTTTGTTAGTTTTGTCGTTGCTAAATAAACCACCTTTTTAACCTACAGCTTAACAGTTTAGGAGGGTCACGTACCCTCTCCCTTTCTGCAGCAAGTGACATTGAGGAGCTGGGTTTGGCAGAAGTTCCAATGCAAGTCAGCAATAAGACCTGGCGACAGCGCCCTGATCCCCTGAATTCCAGCTCTGTGACATCCACCGGGAGGGAAAGAGCACTCCCAGAGCAACCAGAAATAATGCCTTTGTCACTGGCTCTGTGCAAGTTTCAGAATTTATCTTCACCCAACAAGAGGAACCTTTCTTTTCAAGACAAAGTGCAACTGCGACAGCTCTTACTCTCTGTGTTGACAGAAATATACGGAGAGCACAACCCAAGCACTGTATCATACACAATAATTTAAAACTGCCCTGCAGAAAAATTTCAAAGTATTCAGAATATAACTTCTGCTGGGGGGGCTGTAAAGTGAATATTCAGAAATAACTGCCATTCACAGCCAGAACAGGCAGGAAATGCGCTTAACGTCCAACTGAATTCCCAACAAAACCATAGTAAGTACATCTGTCTTCTTTGGACACTTACCAAAGGCATTATTTACATTCATTAACATAGGTCTGCTAAGCACTATAATTAACTCAATAATAATGAATGTAAACATATTGATTTTTTTACTTTATTTTAAGTACAGTGTATCACAATTAAGCATATACCGAAGAAGAAAGTTAATTCACTTTCTAATTAATTCTATTGTTCTGATCAATAGAAATCATTAAACAAGAAGTGTAGCACAGCAGTACCATTTTTAACCAGAGTTTAAAAAAAAAAAAAAAGATAAAAAAGGTTAGAAAAAGTTAAAACTACAATAACATGTAGTGAGAATTCACAACAAGCTGCTCTGAATGTAGAAATCAACACCACCTTCAAGGCACACGCTTGACCTGGAGGGGGTTGAACATTATAGTGGCAAGAAGAAGGGAATGTTAGAGTTGAATGTGAAATGAATATTAACACTGCAATAGGAGGGCAGAGGAGCTGCAACCTCTGGGATGCAGTGGCTCGCAGTTCAGAGAAAGGCACCAGAGGTTAATTAGTTGCCATCACAAAGTAACTTCAATCAGAATTTTCTTTCTAACCTTACACTGATTCTTTCAAGTACAGCAGTTTTTCCCTTACAGCTATAACCAAATGTGACTCCCAGTTAATCCTCCAAGTACTTCCAACTGGTATTTTTGTAGCAATGAAATACGGAGTGTGCGTTATATGGATATTAATATGTTTTAGCTTTCCAGCAAATACTGACAAATTTAACTGGCTGGAGATACAACATGATTTACAGAGGCAAACTGCTTTCTAAAGCACTTAGCAAATATTAACCTGGTAAAACTGTTCAGAGGCATCCAGGTGACCCATGATAAGCAAAGATCTGTGGAAACTATGACAAATTTTATTCTCAACTAGAATATTCAAATTATGGAGTGGCCATTTTGTATAGAGCTCAGTGGCATAAATGAAATAAAACAATATTCTGTTATGATTTCTTCAGAAGTAGTTGAGCTTACTCTGATGCAACAGAAACAAGACAACTAAGAATATTAACGATTTGTTCATTTACATTAGTAAACCATTCATCTGTTGTGCAGAGTCTTTTAAAATAAAGGAGATCAGCCTACAGCTACAGATATTTGAGAGTGCATGTTCTCCATTTATTTAAAACCCACAGTCTTTATGTAAGTCAGTAAAAGTTTGCCAAAGTCAAATTGGCCAGACAGTGAATTCTTAATTTCTCAGTAGCTTGTTTTTGAAAGAACTACAACTTATTTTCTCTGTCAAATTACTGTTCAATGACTCATGACCACAAGTGTTCTGGTCACTGGTAAATGGCATCTTCAGCAATCGCCCCTGGCACGTGCTAGGACTCTGGTATTTATCAGGTAACAAAAAACAAGATTTCAATTTCATTTTAAGACATTCTTATTACAAGCCAAATTTTTACAACTTTATGACTTACCGAAAAATCTGTTACATTACAGGGCTATCCTGTACATGCAGCTATGAATGTAATTTGCTAATGAACTTACTAACAAAAAGATCCGTAAATTACAACAAAACTTTCACTTACTATTAAATGTACAGTAATTTTTTTACTTTGCATGCGTAATCTGCCAGAAAGTATTTTAGTAAGCTTGTTCTGCCAAAAAGTAAGTATTGACTCTGTTACTGTCTTCCTATTATGAATAG